CTCTCAAAAAAGGGGACTTTTCACCATTCACCACCACATTCACAAGTCCTTCTGATCAGTAGCTAGGTCAATAGTGTGTGCTGTCATTATTTCGAGGATGTTGTGATTAAATTTTGTCAGTAATTTTAGACAGAGTACAAAGAGATAGTTTAAGGAAGAATTTTCTTGATTTAGTCTATCTTTTCTGCGAGAATCCTTTTAACTACTTGTGCATGCTAATATTTTTAATTTCCTGTGGTGATTACTGTAAGTCCCGAAGTTCAATTTGTTTGAGGACAAACAAAGGCTTAAGTGTGGAGGAATTTGATAAATTCGTATTTCAACACGCAGTTGAGATTGAGTTTTGTAACTTTTCCTAATTTATTTGAGAGTCACAAACTGTTTAATTAGTTCGTCACGGTTTAGCGGATTTGGTTTGCATTTGAAGCATACTTGTCACGGCGGTAAGTCGAGTCGTGGCGCCAGCCAACTGCCATATCGCCTAGGCAATTAGGCGCCCGCCTAGGCAATTAGGCGCCCGCCTAGGCGACAATTAGGCGACTAGTTGCCTATATATTTATATATATAATTATGTATATAATTATATATATAATCATACATATAATTAAACTATGCAAAATATATATCATACGTAATATATATTAGTATGTACCAGTTTTTATGATTATTTTAACAGTTTATTATTTTATAATTTAGAACATATAATAAAATAGAAGTCTCACAGGTTGGGTATATCATTATATCATATTATATCTTGATTCTGTAATATAGAAGTGTATATATACACATATATTGATAGATAGATGAAAATACACCCTTATATATATATATATATATATATATATATATATATATATATATATATATATATATATATATATATATATATAAATACACAACTTAATTAATTAAAATAATAAAAAAATGAAGCCAAGAAGAAGAGATCGGGGACTGGGAACTAGGGAGTCGCCTGCTACTCTGCTTCCGCGAGCGAGGGACAAGGAGGGCCATACCTGCGACTTTGTCTTCGTCGTGGAGTTGTTCGTCTGCTTCCTACGACTCTACGAGGCTGCGACTTGGCTTGGCTATACGATTTTGGGCAACGAATCGTCGGTAAGGAAGATTACTATGGGCTTGCTTTTAATTAAAGCCTAAATCTATTTTTATTTTGGGTTCTGGGCCTGCGCCATAGCAGTCCGACTTTCCAAAAAGGCGAGGACTTCGACGCCAAAACAGCGCCTAAACGACGCCTAAACGACGCCATTCACGACTACTCTTCATCTGGCGAGGCGAGTGAAGCTGGCGAGGCGAGTGAAGCTGGCGAGCAGTCCCTAGCGCCAGGACGCCTAGTCGGCGACTAGGCGACGCCGTGACAAGCATGATTTGAAGAGAAAATTAGGAATTTGGACCAGGCATTGGTGTTTGAGCTTAATATGAGATGGTTTGGGACACGTTCGAGAGATGGCAATACGCATCGGAGGTCCACAGGATGATTTAAGAGCGTGATTCGAGGCTAAAAAAGTCAAAGATTGAAGATAGGATCGATCGGGAGCGAATGGGGAAGAAAAGAGCAAGAATATGGTTCAAGAGACATCCGCGCGCCGCGGGTCAGTGCCGTGCGCTTCGCGGGTCAGTGCCGCGCGCGCCGCGGGTGATTCTGAGAGCTACAAGTCAACAAGTCTGAACCGCACGCCCCGCGGTCCAGAAATAGGTATAAGGACTACCCGCACGGTCGAACCATGCGGGGCCTGCACGCCGTGCGGTCCGTTTTTTGCCTCGTTTTCGATTTTTCTATTTAAAGACCCCCAGTTTGTCTGTTTTATCTCACGGAGCTTAGAGAAAAAACCCCATTTCGACTTTTGGGAGTTTTTTCAGCCTTGTTCTTCATGATTGTGGGATTCTTTGTACGTTCCAACTTTTTAATTAATGACAATTAATTCTTTTCATCCCAATTCTGTTGATTCTTAAATTATGAATTGTGAGTAATTTTGATTAGGGATTTGGGATTGATGAAAGGGTTGATCATGATGTATGGCTAGTTTCTTGATGGATTAATTGCATGAATCTTTATTTAATTTGTGTATGAATGATTTAATTGATATCTCTTGTAACCTAGAATGGCCATTAGGATTATAATTGCATGTAGAATAAATTAAGAGAGATCTAATTTATTCTATGACACTTTCACACACGTAATCGTTCGCTAAGAGATTAGTAGTGGTTAAGGGGTCGTACGCTCGCTCATTTTGGCAACAATTTAGCTACTTATCGCATGAGAGATCAGTCTGGTTTCCTAAATTATTGTACTCTACGCCGCGAGAGCGGTAAGAACTTAGTATTGATTAGTGTTGCTCAATTAAATAATTTTCATGTGATTAAGCCTGATCAGCCAGAAATCTGATTACCCCGGAATCAATCCATGTTCCCTTACGTCATTAATTAGAAAGAACCTTTTAATTGAGCTGCTTATTCGCATTAGTTAATTTCCCAAAAATAAATAAATCACGCACATCGCAATTGTATTTTATTTATTTATTTTAATCGTTTAATTTATTTAATTCTTGATTCCCTTTTTCCATCCCAGTGGAGATGATACTCGTACTTTAGCCCTATACTACTACATATTTTTAAGTGCGAGAAAACTCACATCAAGTATCATACTATGATACCATAGTCACCTGTTCGGGGTAGCGTTAGATTCAACCTTGACCCTCTCAATGATCACAATGATGCTAATCTGTGGGAGTTTTTAGAGAGGGCACATATCAAAGAAGTGATCACGAGGAGCTCTTTTGGTCCGGATAGTGAGGTTTTTCTTGAAAATAAAGTTTTGTATGATGTTTTAAGTGAGAAGCTTTATTCAAGGCAGGGATTGAAGGCTGAGGAATATGCAATACTGAGGGTGGTCAAGGCCCTTCAACCTATGGGACTAACAGTGAAACTGGCTCCACAAGTTTGGATTGTCACGCTCGACCGCTTGGCTGCACGATCTCACCGATCGAGTTTCAAATCTTAGCAATGGATAACGTTTCAGACTTTCAGCATTGGCTGATCATTCCAACAATAAACAGTGCTTTGAGAACATGATTCAAGATATTATACGAAAGTGTTATCATCAAAAAGCATCGGTTTGTGATGGCTATTTGTCACTGTTTAAGTATCTTCCCAGATCTTTTAGTATCCAATTTCAGACTTATTGGCAGCAGGTTCTTCCTGAAAGTATAGATGGACTTACCAATGAGAATGAATCTGTAGGTGATGCTGCCCTTGGTACTGGCCATGGTTTAATGAAGCAGGATGCAACAATGTCCTCAGCTCTGCTCCTTCTTGCTGTGGAAGAAGTGATGATGAAGGATCAAGTGATGAAGTTCATGGTCCAGAAACCAGTGAGGTACTGGGAAGAGAGAAACGCAAGGATGAAGCGGATGGTCAGGGTTGTTTCCTACCTAGTTGTCTAAGGGGGGAGATATGATAAGAAACCAGGCAGATTAATAATAATAATAATAATATGATAGGGACCCGGTTAGAATAGTGTTATTAATAGTAATAATAAGAGTAGTATAAATAGAGGCTAAGTAAGGAATAAGAGGGAGGCAGAACTTGGGACTGGAAATAGGCTTGAGACTCTAAGTGTCTCACACTTGTCTTCTCTTTCTATTTTTCTGTTTACGTAGGTTTCCCTATTGATTTCCGCCATTGTAATACCTGAAGGTTCTGTGTTTGGGGAGTTACCTAGAAGAATGGAGTGTTTGTAAGAAGTTGACGACTTCGTTCTACAGGAGTATCAAAACTTTGTGAGCAGAAGTATGCGAACATTTTAACGATTAATCATCATTTTCATTTACCCCAGTGCCGCAAAGGCTCCTCACCTACGGTGGGGTAAGGGGGTCGGATGTACGCAGTCTTAACCCTGTACTAAAGCACAAAGAGACCGTTTCCGAATGACCCATAGTGAAAATCCCGTCCAAAATTGCATGGACTGACTGCTACTTCATAACAAAGAAGCGCAGACAGTTTAGTGAGCCGTTTTGCTTTATTCCATCATATTCATTTTAACGATTAATGAATAATTTAAATGAAACAAGACTTGTTAAGGGTTTAGTGTGGACTATGGGAACATGTTTAATGCATGGGCATTTTATTAAACAAAATACATTGGGTCTTTCTTAAGTTACAACTCATTAAAAAGATAGGATAAAGGAAATCGCGCATTAGAAAACGGCTCAAGGCATATGCCTTAACTTTCGAGGCGTAAGCCTCTTTACCTTAAAGCCTAAGCCTAACTTCTATGTACACCTCACCTTGAGGCGCGCCTCAAAACCCACCCTATAAGCGCCTTATTAAACCATGCTCGGCCTGATTGAGATCTTAAGAGTTCATCCAATTTCTAAAATACACATTACGATTGCATATTTATATTTATTAGTGATTTTGTACTTGATTTTAGAACTTTCAAGCTCTTCCAGGAGTTTCAGCATTCATATTACTTAGGGAAGCAATATAAATTCAGGCATTTGGCTGGGAAAATTGCGATGGTAATCTCTGAAAGCAAAATAAAAAAGTCAAAGCATTTCCACCTCCCAAAACACCCCATATGCATTTGTGGGATCATCTACATTTTCATAATTTTCAGGAAAAACATGTCCTGGCTTGGATAGATATGAAACAAAAAGATGGTGGTATCAAGGCGGAGTTAATTGTATGAAGGTGTTAGATGACACCATACTCTTTTAGAAATAAGGCTTGAATGTTGTTGTTGTAGTTAGAAAAAATGCTCTTAAATTTAATTGAACCTGATTTAGTAAAAAATGGGTGAGTAGTTTTGATTGGACAAAGGTTTCAGTGAGTGAATATGTCAAACTTAATTCAACCTCTTAAAACCTCCTAGGTTCTTAAAAGTTGAAACTGATTTAGTGAAGATTCTTCTGGGTAAAACTATATTCTTTTAAAAAATCAAAAAATCAAAATAGAAGAACAGGTGCACATCCAAACAAACATACCGTTAGAGGTTTGAGGGTGAGCTTGGGGAGAGAAAGTGACATGAGAAGAAAGAGCTGGGCATGTGCAGGAGCCAAAGGTGAAACCAAGACCTAGGAAAAGGACCACGGAAGTGGTTAGTCGCCAGAAAATGTCGCCATAGGTGACCGCTGCAGCTTGTATAAGCCGGCCCCGATGGGCAGAAGGCTTACTATCAGCGCAGAGGGTTAACCTCTTGCTGAATTGCGGATGTTGGGAATGACTGAAGGAGAGCAACCGTGCGCTGCAGTTATCAGATCTGTTGGGGTAATGCTGGAGGAGTAGATTCCGCGTGGAGAAGAGGGCTAGCGAAAGCATCATTTTCATCCAATAACCCAGCCAGAAAATAAATGGGCATCGGCGGGATGGTGGGAATTGGGATAACAACCCATCATTGATGTACGCAGCTTTGTACACACTTTATACACACCATGTTTGCGAAGCTTTTTTTTTGTCTTTGAATCCGGTTCACAGACAGTATTTTGTTTGTGCAAAACATTGTCTGTGAATCGATGTTCACAGACAAAAAAAAAGCTTTCACAGACATAGATGTGTACAAAAGTGTGTATAAGAGTGTGTACAAACATCATTTTTGTTGGGATAATGAACCACCTAATTGAGTCAATTGACCAGAGAGAATATAAGAACAGATTTTTGTACTAAACTCGCCAAAATCTTTTAAAATCCTTATTTGATGTGTACTTATATCGTTCCTATCACTCAATTGCTCATCTATAGTTGTTGTCGATCTGCTCCTTCTTCGACTATGGAAGCTGGACTGTTGAGACCTAATTCCATGGACCGCTGAGAATTGAAGGGATTTCAAATTCCATTTCAAATTCCATGGATTTCACAATATCATAGATTTTACCCTAAATAGAATTCCATAGAATTTCATATGAATCTATAGAATTCCATTAAAGTCCATAGAATTTACAATACTTTAAAATCATTTAAATTCCGTGTTGACGACACCCCCTAAGATTCTTTTCTTATTACAAAAAAAGAAAAATCGTACTTTTAGTCCCTCAAATATTCACCATATTAAAATGTCACACTGGTATTTCTGATATTGTAACTGTCACACTTCAATTGTCCAAATTAGTGTAATTGCGGTCCTTTGAGAAGTGAATTGTACTTCTCGCTCACATTTACATTTTACTCCTCAAAGGACCACATTTACAGTATTTTGGACACGGATCTGACATTTCAATATTGTGACTATTTCAGGGACAAAAAGTGCATTTTTCTCTTACAAAAACTATTACTATGTATAACATGCTTGTGCGATGCAAACAAAATAAGAAATAACTACTACCTGCCGTCCCAAAATGATGGTCATGTATTTCCTTTTTGGGATGTCCCAAAATGATGGTCATGTTTCCCTTTTTGGAAGGAAAGATGTGGTCTATATCGTTTCACTTTATTATACTCAAATCTCAACCACAACTTTTACCTTTTCAACCACTTTATTAAAACTTGTGCTCAAAAGAAATGAGACCATCAAATTGGAACGGAGGGAGTACTTTTTATTATAAAAAAGTAAAAAGCTACTCCCTCCGTCCCTTAAAACTTTGTCATCTTTCCTTTTTGGGTCGTCCCAAAAAACTTTGTCACTTTCCCTTTTAATCAATTATTTTGTGGTTTCTGTTATTTCTCTCTCCTCTACACAAACTTCAACCACACAGTTTTTACTTTATTATTCTCCGTGCCGGTCAACTTTGGCAAAGTTTTAAGGGGCGGAGGTAGTACATGATTTCACCATATAAGAAATAAAATGTGATAGTAAGCACAGAAATTTTAACGAGCCCCCAACGTGCTTATTAAACTGCACGTTAAATGATTTATAAACAAAACCAATGTAAGCGTGCAACATTATGTTCCCGTCTTCCTCTGATTCACGACCTCCCCGTTCAGCGACCACATCCAGGAGTAGTGACCAACCACCTCCGCATCCGTCTTCTACTGTTTGGCGGCTTCTCGAGACGCAAGGGACCATAGAAGTATTTGTGAGAATAATGGAACAGGATGCTCTCTAAGGAGCCCTGACAGATATATTTATAATAAAAGAGTTTAATGTAAAATACAATATTGATCCTATAATAATTCTATTACACCCCCTCAAACTGTGCGGGAGAAACAACGCGCAGGTTATCCTTTAAAAAATGAAAACGCTGACTAGGAAGACTCTTTGTAAAAATATATGCCAACTGTAAATGAGTAGGAACATGTTGGACAATTAGATCTCCATCAGCAACACGTTCGCGAACAAAGTGATAATCAATTTGTATGTGTTTACTTCGAGCATGCTGAACGGGATTAGCAGTCAAGTAGGATGCAGAAATATTGTCACATAATAAATGAACAGGCTCACTTATAGGGAAGCCGAACTCAAACAATACTGATCGAATGTGTAACGTATCCTGAACAGTGTAGGCAATGGCACGATACTCAACTTCTGTAGAAGACTTGGAAACTGTGGGTTGCTTCTTTGATTTCCAAGATATAAGGTTAGGTCCCAAAAATACCGCAAAACCTGTGGTGGATCGGGAGGAGTCAGGACATCCTGCCCAATCGGCATCTGAATAAGCGAGAACACATGTGGGTTTGGCCGAATGCTGGAGCCGCAAGTACCTGAAAATTCTCTTGACTCCAAAAAGATGAGTAGTACGGGGAGCATGCATAAACTGAGACACCAAGTATACTGCATAAGTAATATCTGGCCGTGTCAAAGTTAAATATTGTAACGCACCTACCATGCTGCGATACTCGGTGGAATCTAAAAGCAACTCGCCATCAGACAGGGATAAGGTGGTGCGGGACGCGAGTGGTGTGCGAACGGGTTTAACCGTATGGAGATGAAAACGACTGAGAAGGTCAGAAATATATTAAGTTTGAGAAAGAAAAAGACCTTGACGAGTTCGACGTGACTCAATGCCCAGGAAGTAATGTAAATCACCGAGATCCTTCATAGCAAAGTGATTAGAAATAATAGAAATAAATTGGGTAATGATGGAAGGAGAATTACCAGTAATAATAATGTCATCTACATATAATAATAAATAAATGATGGTATTATTATGGCGATAACTAAACGGGGAGTTATCAGACTTACTACAACAAAATCCTTGTTGTAGAAGAAAGCTACTGAATCTATGAAACCATGCTCATGGTGCTTGCTTAAGTCCATTAATGGCCTCACGCAAACGACAAATGTGATTAGGAAACTGAGGATGTATAAAACCACGGGGTTGACGCATATAAACTTCCTCAGTAAGATGACCATGTAAAAATGCATTTTTGACATCAAGTTGCCTGATGACCCAGCCAAAAGACACAGCAAGAGTGAGAACAATACGAACTGTAGTGGGATTAATGACAGGACTGAAGGTTTCAGAAAAATCAATCCCAACATGTTGATTAAACCCCTGAGCAACTAATCTAGCTTTATGTCGCTCTACTGACCCATCAGAGTGATATTTAGTTTTATAAATCCACTTACAACCAACTATATTCTTAGAATTGTCAAAGGGCACCAGATCCCAAGTATTATTATTGATGAGAGCATTAAATTCATCAGCCATAGCTTCATGCCATTTTGTCTGTTTATTAGCCTCAGTAAAGCACGTAGGATTTGCTGAATTAACAACTGTATTCAAATTGAAAATGGTTTTTGGTTTAAAAATTCCCGCTTTAGCACGGGTTTGCATGGGATGCATGTTTACCACCGGGGGCGAAGAGGAGTTGGCTGGTGCGGAGCTAGAGTCTGGAGAAGCGAGTCTTGGGTTGGGGCTTGGAGAGGTGAGGTTATGTGATGCGGTAAGGTCTGAAATAACAGGATGGGAAATCGGGGAGGTTGGACTACTGGGTATGGAGGTGGGAGTGCTCGGGTTTGACTCAGAGGAAGCTGGATCGGCCGAGGCTAGCAGATGGGATCTGTCCGGATTGGCATCGGTAAGTGGTGACCGAGAAGTATGTATTGTTGCCGGAGGAGCTAGAGATGGGCTGGACACTAAGGACGTTGGGAGAGTAGGACTGGGTTTATCCGGAGGGAAGGAACAAGGTGAAGTAGTAGGAGGAGGCTGGGAGAGGTTTTTGAAAGGGTAAATGTCCTCATGGAACCTAACGTGACGGCTAATATAAACACGATCAGTAAGAGGATCAAGACAACGATAGCCCTTATAACGAGATGCATAGCCAATAAAAACACACTGAACAGATCAGGGAGATAATTTGTTTGATGAGGTGGCGGAAAGATTTGGGTAACATGCCGAACCAAAAACTCGCATAAATGAATAATCGGGAGCTCTTTGAAATAATATTTGATATGGTGAGAGACCATTTAAAATGTGAGAAGGTAATCGGTTAATGATATATGCAGCTGTAAAAATTGCATCAACCCAGAATGTACTCGGTACCGAAGCTTCAATAAGCATAGTTCGAGTTAATTCTATGAGATGACGATGTTTGCGTTCAGCAACCCCATTTTGTTGGGGTGTGTCAGGACAAGATTTTTGAAAATAAATACCATTGGAGTTGAAAAAGTGCTGCATATTGTGATTAACAAATTCACCTCCTCCATCACTTTGAAAAATTTTAATTTTCTGATTAAAAAGATTTTCAACCAAAACTTTAAACTTTTTAAAATGCATAAAAACTTCACTTTTCTGATGCATGGGATAAATCCAAGTAAAGCGAGAATAGTCATCAATAAAACAAACATAGTATTTGAAGCCTAAATTGGAACCAACTGGAGATTGCCATACATCAGAATGAATAAGTTGCAATGGAAGAGAGGAAGTATGACTAGCATCCGAAAAAGGCAAACGTTGTGATTTTCCTAGTCTACAAGCAACACATTCATGAGTAAAAGGAGTGTGACTACATAGAAATTGTTTGCGTTTAAGAAACTGTAAAACATTGTCACCACAGTGACCTAGTCTACGGTGCCACACAGGACCAGAAGCTAAAAGAGAATCTAGGGCTAACGATGAGGAAGATGACTGCAAATGAAGTGGATATAGCGGTCCATTACTATTAGCACGCAGAAGCACCGCCCTCGAGGCCTTGTCCTTTATCAAAAATGAATTTTTGTCAAAAATCACAATACAATTGTTATCAGCACATAACCGTTGAATAGAAATTAAATTATACTGTAATTGAGGCACATGATAAACAGACTGTAGTGTGAGAGGACGACCAGTTGAAGGTAAAACCACGTCACCAATATGACAGATGGGTAGATGGGCACCATTAGCAACACTAACTGAATTATAGCCAGTGTAAACAGATTTATTAATTAAATTACCTTCTGATGCAGTCATATGAGCAGACGCTCCCGAGTCAGGATACCATAAAGCCGAATTAGATTCACCAGAAGCAGTCAACAGTGCTGGAGTGGAAGTCTGGTTGAACCGAGATGGACAAGCAATAGCGGAATGACCTGCAGAGAAACAGATTTGACACACAATATGATGGGGAACCGCCCCAAGAATACCCCCATCTGAGGAAGTGCCTGCAGAACCAAAATTAGTAGCACAAACATGTAAAGCATTTATATTTAAATGTGACACAATAGAATTACAAGAAGCAGTACCCATAGTAGGAGCACCCCCTGCCGAAGGACCACCCCATGCGGCTATGCCCTGCGGTGTCATCACATACGGTGGGTACTAGTACTGCGGCTGGCCGTGTGGTGCCGTCGGTTGGCTGCGTCCCCTGCCACGACCACCACGACCTCTGTCACCCCGTCCTCGTTCGCCTCGTCCGCGTGGAAAACTACCAGGAGGCCGTTGCTGCTGCGGTGCACCCGTGTGCTGGAGATGTTGCGGACCTGCTTGCGCGCCATGCTGTTGGAATTGCGTGTCGAAGGCCTGGTGAGCTGGTTGCTGCTCCTGGGACCGAAGGTATAAAACCCTTTGTTCTAATTCAAGAAGATTGTAGCATCGTCCCCAAGCATATTTACTTTTAGTAAATTATGTGATAAACCTTGAAGGATGATTTATAAATTTGCGTAATTGTAAAGTTTTATTATTTCTTTTACGTGAATAGTAAATTGCATGTGGGGCCCACGCCGGGACCGGGGGCCACCCGAAGATTCTTGAACCACATATTATATTCATCTTGGTCTAGATAATATGTATATGGGAGTGGATATTTTATTTGAGCCATGGAAAGAACATGGGTTTTACCGGTGGGTCAAACGAGACCCAATTAACGGTATTGGTAATTTATCGGATAACAGTCCGAAATGAATTTCGGTGACTCCCAAATTTATGTTGGGGAATGTACACCTATTCTAAAGGCCTATAACTATTGGAAACGTGTGATACATTTTATCCGGCCCGATAAAATAAAATATAACCAAAGCAGTCCGAGAAATGCAACTTTCGGGGCCAATTATACACACCGGGACATAATGGGATGACCTCCCACATGAGTGGGGGCCACCCCACGATTTTGTGTGGTCTAATTGACATATTGGGAGCTGAGTGAGACAAATAAACACGGGCTGTGCGGACTTGTGAATGAAAGGATGGCTGGAATAATGCTCATGGATATTGTTTTTTGAATAATTATTTGGGGGCTTGTATGCCCATGTTTGCCAAGGTGTGGCATAAACACTTGTGTAAATGTTTCCGCTGCTATAAATGTTTATTTTACATTGTGTTTGTTTATGGATGTACTATGTGTGAATGGTATTCAAGACGCCTTGTATAGTATGAATGAGTTGGACTGCGGTTGGCTATTCGTACTATACGGCGGGTTGTTGGCGTGTCCGGGTAGGTCCGGGGCGTGACAATTTAATTGGTATCAGATACTTAGTCCGTAAACATCATAATGAAGCTTCAAAATTCTTTTTGAAAAATGAATTTTAAAACCATGAGCATAAGAAGTTTTGTACTTATAGAACTTTTGGTACTTGAGTTGCAATGTCTCTAATTGTTAAGATGGTACCCTTAACAATTGGTATGGCGGTGATTTGAGACAAAGGATGTCTTTAAGTACCTAACCGTCAATTGACATTTGATACAAGTCTAATGACTCATTCTCAATTTCTTTCAGAAATGGAATGTACCGGGAAAGTAACTAGAAGGAACCCGACTGGCCGAGCACCGGGAGGATCCGTGCAAGGCAGTAGAAGGGCTTCTAGGGTGTCCAGAGGACAGGGCCGTGGAGGCCAAGCTCAGACCGTGAGTGACGGTCATGTTGAAACAGTCAACGAGTCTTATGAGTCCGAGGAGGATTCGACGTATCAACCGGGAACTGAGCCGGTTGAGACCCCATATGATGGGGAATATGATGATGCTAGTGAGGGGAGCGACGATGCTGACGCTCTAGAAAGGATGGAGGAACTACTCCGTCAATTTCAACAGGATCGCCAAAGGCGCCGGGCAAGGCGTGCTTTGGGAGGGGCTTCAAGAAGGGGAAGCCATGCGATTTCTAGGGGACATGTGGAGTCCCGAGTAGATCGAGGTGTCGAGGTCCCGATAATAAGGATCTCGAAGTACCTCAAAGAAGCAAGAGATTTGGGGTGTAAACCGTTCGATGGAACGGGAGATATATCTGTTGCGGCGGAGTGGATCAAGAGGTTCAATGAAGCGGCCCTTGATATGCAGCTGCCGCCAAACATGAAGATGAGAGTAGCAACAAGGTTGCTAGAGGGGATGTCGTCCACATGGTGGGACGGTGTCAAGGGGAAGTACGGTGAGGCCGTAACTTGGGAGAATTTCCGATAGGAATTCTTCAACAAATACTACTCCGACTTCGAGGTGAACTTGAAGAGGAGAGAATACACCAACTTGACCCAAGGAGGCAAGTATACCGTGAGGCAACTTGAGCACAAGTTCATGGAGCTCGTGGAGTTCATACCGGAGTATGCTTGTGATGAGAACCGGATGGTGAATCACTTTTGGGATGCTTTAGACTTAGACGTGCGTGAGCGGGCAACACAATTGCCTAACATGACATTTAGTCAAGTTGTCGGGCAAGGCCTGAAAGAGGAGAAGGAATGGGAGGAAAGAAAGCTGAAAAACGCCGAGGAGGCGAAGAAGAGGAAATGGGAGAACACCGGCCCTCAAGGTTCTAGCAAAAAGGGGAACCACGGGGGAGGTGGGTCTTTTAGAACACCCGCACCACCATCACGGGCGAATCAAGGCCCAGGAGGGCAAGGCTCGAGGTCGCAAGGCTCGGGCATTATAAGGTGCAATAACTGCAAAATGAACCATGCGGGGAAGTGTCGTGATCCCTCGAGATGCTATCAATGCGGGGAGGCGGGACACTTGAAGACCAATTGCCCACAACTAGGGTGAGCCATGGGTGCAGGACCCAGTAGCGGGACTACGGCAAGTAGAAACCGGACAGAGGCACCCCATGGGAGCACAGGGCATGGCGGGCCAAGTACAAGCAACACGCCATCCGTGAACCAAGGCAAGACCCAAGCTAGGGTCTATGCAATGACGGAGGCGGACGCACGTGCTAACCCGGACTCCGTTGCGGGTAATTCCCTAAACTCATGTTATTTACTCCATTGTAAGCAATATGAGCGTTATAAACTTGTAAATTTATAACCCCGACGGTTTGGTCGGGTTTGTAGAGGAAAAAGGGGAGGAAAATACCCGCCCTGGGCGAATGCCGCCCGACATTGACGAAAGCCGCCCGACTTTCGTCTTGATTTATTGGGAAAAATACCACGGCAACGAATGTCGGCCAGCTTCCACCGAGAACCGCCCGACTTTCGTAAACATTAAATCAGAGAATTTTCTCGCAACAAAAAACCGGTCGGCTTTCGTAAAGCCCGACCGGCTTTCGTAAATGACTAACCGGGGAATTTTCACGCAGATGAAAGCCGCTCGGCTTTCATGGAAACCGGCCGGCTTTTGCGTAATAGTGGGAATTTAACTGCGGCAACGAAAACCGGCCGGCTTTTGGCAAAGCCCGGCCGGCTTACGTAACGACGGGTTCGGGGTGGATGAAAACCGGCCGGCTTTCGTGAAAAGCGGTCGGCTTTCACTTGGGTTGGTCCTAGAGGTTAGAAACCGGAAAATTTCGGAAGGGTGTCGAACGGACCCCACCCGAATGACAACCAACATACTCTACGACTTAAGAAACGGACTTATTAAAGAGATAGTGTGCCTTACATTACTTATGAATGTAGGAACACTAAAGATAAACGGGAGAGACGCAAGGATCCTTATTGATACTGGGGCGCAACGATCATTTGTGAGTGAGGCGTTCGCCAGCGGATTCAACGGACCACTTGTACCGATGACTCAAACCCTATTGGTATCCACGTCTTTAGGGGATGATATCGAAAGAGATAGTCACTATCCATCGTACCGCTGAGTATGATCGAGTTCGATGCAATTCTCGGGATGGATTGACTTGAGAAACATCATGCTAGGGTCGATTGCTACACAAAGATTCTTGAACTCGAAAGCGGTGAAGGGTTGACCTTACGCTTTGAGGGAAATAGAGGCAAATCAAACAGTTGTATCATATCCGCCGTGAGGGCGAGGAATATGATGAGAAAGGGATGTCACGCATATCTAGCATACGTGGTGGACAAAACCAAAGAGGAGGTAGACATCAATGATGTGAGGATAGTGTGCAAGTATCCGGATGTCTTCCCAAAAGACTTGTCGGGACTTCCACCCGATAGGGAGATTGAGTTCGTGATCGAGGTTGAACCCGACACCAAACCAATCTCTATACCGCCATACAGAATGGCACCCGCTGAACTTAATGAGTTGAAAACCCAAATGCAAGAGCTATTGGATAACGGTTTCATAAGGCCGAGTCACTCCCCGTGGGGAGCACCGGTCCTTTTCGTAAAAAAGAAAGATGGAACACTTCAAATGTGCATTGACTATCGTCAACTGAACAAGGTCACAATCAAGAATAGGTATCCCTTGCCTAGGATTGATGACTTGTTTGATCAGCTCCGAGGAGCGACGGTATTTTCGAAGTTTGACTTGAGGTCGGGGTACCACCAACTGAAGATAAAGGAGGATGACATACCGAAAAGTGCATTCCGCACGAGGTATGGTCATTTCGAGTTCCTAGTTATGTCGTTCGGGCTAACCAACGCCCCAGCGGCATTTATGGACTTGATGAACCGAGTATTTCATAAATACTTGGACCGGTTTGTGATTGTGTTCATAGATGATATCTTGATTTACTCAAAGAGTGAAGAAGAGCATGAGGAGAACTTGATACTTGTTCTTGAGACACTACGGGAGAAGCAACTCTATGCCAAGTTTTCCAAATGTGAATTTTGGCTAAGGGAGATTGGCTTTCTCGGGCATGTGGTCTCGGGATTAGGGATTGCCATAGATAACAAGAAGATTGAGGCCATTACTGGATGGGAGAGGCCAAATAACGTCAAGGAAATTCGTAGCTTCCTTGGATTGGCAGGGTATTACCGAAAGTTCGTGGAGAAGTTCTCGGTTTTGGCATCGCCATTGACAAAGCTCACTCGAAAAGGGGCCAAGTTTGTATGTGATGACCGATGTGAGAAGGGATTCCTTGAACTAAAGAAGAGATTGACCGAGGCACCGGTACTCGCATTACCCCAACAGGGTATGGGGTACGATGTCTATAGTGATGCGAGCATCCAAGGGCTTGGATGTGTCTTGATGCAGAATGGGACGGTGATTGCCTATGCTTCAAGACAGTTGAAGAAGCATGAGGTAAATTATCCTACTCATGATTTAGAGTTGGGGGCAGTGGTATTTGCATTGAAGATTTGGAGACATTATCTCTACGGGGAAACATGTCATATATACACTGACCACAAAAGCCTGAAATACATGTTTACTCAGAAAGAGTTAAACATGAGACATAGACGGTGGATGGAGTTGATAAAGGACTACCACCTAGTTATCGAGTACCACCCCGGTAAAGCCAACGTGGTAGCGGATGCCTTGAGCCGAAAGAATTCGTCTGGGGCATTGTTGACTAGTTTGAGGGCATTGAGAGCCCAATTAGAAGTATCTAGCGATGGTGCCTTGTTAGCTAGATTCGAGGTGAGACCTACATTACTTGAGGAAAGCAAGAAGGGTCAAGAAACTGATGAAGAGCTTATGAAGGTCCGTGAACGCATGCTAGCGGGACCGATTGAGGATTTCAGGGAAAGAGACGATGGTCTCTTATTATTTCGTGACCGGGTGTGTGTGCCGTCGGATGATGCGCTCCGAAAGTCCATCTTAGAGGAGGCCCATTCATCAGCATATGCCATGCATCCAGGAGGCACGAAAATGTACCGTGATTTGAAAGAAAGTTAATGGTGGTCGGGTATGAAGAGAGAAATAGCCGAGTACATCAGTAGGTGTTTTACTTGTCAGCAAGTTAAGGCAGAACATCAGCATCCAGCTGGGTTATTACAACCACTTTTCATTCCTGAATGGAAGTGGGAACACGTGACTATGGATTTCGTGGTAGGGCTGCCACGGACGATTAAGAACTATGACGCCGTATGGGTTGTGGTCGATAGGCTCACGAAAAG